CACAGCTGCCAGATGAGGCCTCAATAAGAAAAAAATTCTAGTTAAGTTGATGTATTCATACTGACTATTCTCTGATGCAGCATTATCCGCTTCGGCTGAGGATTTAATTTTGAGTAGTTTTACTGATCTCAGTTCAAACATCTGCAAAGCAAAGTAGATCTAAGATGTGTAAAGATATTATAAGCCCACATTTTAAGAAATTCTCTCTTTGGATTTCTTATTTCAGAGCAGTATGATATGCAGAAACTGTCAGGTCATGACCTGATGAAGGGGCATGACCACCCTTGGGAGCAAGCAATTCAGCTGGGCAATGGGAACGGGTAGATCCAGGATCTATTCCTTCCTAACCTCATTTAAGGGCTGGCAACAAAAAGAGAAGCATATCTATTTGGAGACTGCCTCCTTTCAGAGTTTCCAGTGAGCCATGATCTTCAGAGAGAATAAGCTACTCCTTTATTAGTGAGTTTATTACTGCCCTTCCTGGGTGATCTGATACTAGATAAAGATAACTCTACCAACTTCTGCCTATCCATACATACAGTAGCAGAAGTGTTTAAAATCTAGTAAAAAGTAGAAGTTGAAAAACTGCTATGAAGCTAAACACCTGTACCTAAGCTTACATTTATACAAATTCTACTTTAAATAAATGACCACTCAGTGCAGTACACAAGCAACAGTTCAGTATATTTTTGATTATCAGTCATGAAGCATTTTGGGGGAAAAATATTATGTGGTCTTTGTTATATTTTCTCTAATTGCGATTACTGAGCCAATACAAACATTATCCTATACCGATTAACAATGCAAGGCTATTCTGAGGATGAATGGAGTCATTTGAGGATGAATTAACAGCAGTTATGTGTATTTTACAGCGTTTGTTGAGTTTGCTTTTTCTGCACCTTAATCAAGCCGTAGAAATCAATTCACTACAGATTAAATACTTTTTAACTAAAAAACCTGTCTCTGCTTTAAACTCACAGAAAAATATTTTCACATTGAGCCTTACTTGAGTTTATTTTCCCAAGGCAAACCCTCTTCCCTAAACTCATATTCTAGACAGAATTGATATATTGTTCATGCATGTCAGCTAAAAGTGTTTATAAAAAAACCACTGAAAATGTAGAAAAATGAAAGGTCAGTTTCACATAGGGTTAACTAAAATCCTTTTTAGATGATTACATCTTATTGAGGTCAGAGGCTTGGGCATGAAAATTTCTCTGTAGACCTGGGTTATAGATTGTTTTAGGCTGGCTGTTATTAGAGTTGACTACTTCACAGCACTCTCTGCAAGGAACTTGTCATTAAATTTTAGGTCATTTTTGACTTTTTCATTGCTTAGGCTCGAGTGCTCATTTACTGATAAAGCATGCATTTTTCTTCTTTCTTTTCCTATTACATTCAGGATTAATTCATAGGTGAGCCTAGGAAAAAGGATACAGGAAGCCAAGAGGTTTTTGACTGTTGGCAGTGACATCTGTGTCAGAAACTAAAAATGTTGCTTGCTAGGCAGTTTAGAGATCTGGGTGAACCATGCAGAAGGAGAGGTTAAGGAACATTCTGTTCTTCTGAGCAAGGAAATGCCTACTTCAGTTACAGCATTCTTGTGTAACACCCTTTGCTGAAAATATATAGCTGGTCATATGAAGCTATTTGAGCTTTGGAGACACCTTAGCTTAGTAAGTTGTGGTTCAGGAAAGATGTTGTGAGAATGATTAGGCAAAATAAGCACGACTGAAGGCAAGCTTTACTGCCACGCTTCTACTATTTAGAGGTGGAGGTCTCACTTATCAAACAGGATGTACAACCTGTGTCTTTGAGAACACAGCATGAACTTTCTATTTTACAGAAAATACAGACTCTACCCTATACTGTGTGCAATCATACATTTTAGTCAAACTTCCTCATTTTCAGCAGCGGGCTAGATTTAAACCTAAACCTGAACCTAATCCCATCCTTTCTTACAACAAATCCTTTGGCTTCTTCTCTGAGCCCCAACTTCTCTTCAAAATTTCAATGCCTCTGGGATATTGGTGACAGCTTACCTTACCAAAGGAAGGAGTACAGTATGAGCGCAGCCAGTTTCTCTGCCACTGCACTTCTTGAATTGCGTCATAACTGAATGATAAAAACACTATAATGGAAAATAGTGGCTCGGTGATGAAATTCATAGCATCTTCATCTAGAAGTAGCAGCTTGAGTTCTCCAAACTTACTTGGCACTTGCTGAAAAACTACTCTCAATTATCATTTCATTCATGTTGCATTTTAGACAGTGATCTAAAGATCTAAGAAATATGAAAGTTACACTTTTCTTTGCTGCCACAATGCTTTGGCATTTGAAATAATAAATATTGACTGTCTTGATTTAAATAAAGTCTGAAATGTGGATCAAGTGTGAATAAAAGATGCGGTAGGAAATTCTTCATTACTTGCATGCCTATACTCCCAATCCTTACCACTAGTATTATTATTAATGCTGCTAATGGTGTTAAGAGTCAACATTTATTTGGAAACCACAGTCAATTTACAAACTGTAACAAATTTAGTTCAAATTTATCAGTGAAGCAGATAACAATTCCTCCAGTCACAAGTGAAGTTACACAGAAAAGAGCTACTTTGATATCCTCTGGGGAAAGGGTCCTTCCTGGTGCATTGCCTAACAACATAATGTGTGCTTTTCTTAAAATAAGCTTCTGGATACTCTTAGACTCTGACTAGGAAAAGTGGCCCCATCACAATAACAGCCAAAATAGGGAAGAGTTCTGAACAAAAGCTGGCTACGTATCCAAAAGCTGAAATGCAGTAACTGCTGAAATGTTTCATGGAAATGAAACGTGATGTGGGCTGTTCGAGTCCTCCTTTCCTTCATAAAGAACATCACAAGGACAACATGCTGTCATATCTGGTGCTAGCTAGAAATCTGAAATGAAAACCCATTAACTACTTGCTACATCTGTGCAAACCCACTGACTTCAATCTCTTTCATTTGTTTGATTTTTTTTTCAGAAGCTGACTGAATGGCATGTACTATGAGCAGAATCTGGTTTATTTTCTTTAGATGCTTAAGCTCATTCCCATCCTGGCCCTCTAAGCTCCCCAAGGTACAATTTGATCTGTTTAAAAAAAAATAGAGCATCAGCTTTTTTCTCTGTTGCTTATTCATGTTTCCCACTTTGCAGTAATTCAGCATGGTAAACAAACAACTTCTCTGTTATGTGTCGGTTTGAGTTCCAATTTCGGCAGTTTTGTAAACTAAAGTTTTACACTCCCAGCACAGTTAGTATAACTTCATTCCCTAATGGATACTTAACACATCTAATTACTCTATTTCTAAGCTACAAGCACTTTGATAAATGTTTCTGTTCTTTCACTTCAGAAGCTTTCCAGCTGCAACATTTTCTACTGAATAAAACATTATCAGTGACTTTGCCCGTAAATAATACAGCACAAACACCAATGTAGTCACAACTGTATACAATAATCTCAGAATTTCACTGGGGGTTTTCTAGTGACATAATAATAAACTAAATAATAAATAAACTAAACAGCTGAAGATATATTAAATTATAGTTTGGATATATTTAATATATATTTTACATATGATGAAAGACCTCAGATACTTCTCACAGCAATTTAAGCATTTTTTTTAGACTACTTCAAAACAGTAGGAGAGGTAGCTTCAAAGCAGGATGCAGAAGATTACGTATTTGTAAGGAAAATCTGAATGACTGAATGCATCTTCATTTATTTTGCTTGCACAAAAACTCACATTGCAGCCCAATCTACATCAGTGTCTCACTGTATCGGGAGCATTTCAAAGAGACTGGGAACAGCTGAAGGTTAGGTAGCAAGACCTTAAGTGATAAGACACATAGGGCAAGAGGTTGATTCAACAACTGGAGTGAGGAAACCGAGTTTCCCTTGAAAATCAATATTGAGATGGAGTATTAATTGGTTATCTCCCTGAAAAAAGAAACACAGCCAGAAACGTCTCTTTACTGAAGCCACACTGTACTTTCCCAAAGAAGGATTCATGGGAAAGGCTAAGTTTGTCACTCTTGCATATCTGGGTATTCATAGATTCAAAATTAGCGTTCAAGAATAGCGTGCTGTTGAAAAATGACCAGCTGGTCCTTGGACAGCTTGGCTTATTGGCGTTTCTCTGTATTTAATAGTCTCTGATTTGACCCAGGAGGAAAGATTTAGGTGGGTGGTGGGACTTAAAGCAACTTAGCACATTGCGTGCTGAGGGAGAGAAACTGGAGCACAAAAGGGGAGAGAAAGAGAACAGGACACCATTTCTGTGGTGTGGAGAGATGAGGTGACTGGGGGAAAAAGGAATAGAAGAATACCATAAAAAGATCAAGATAGTTGTGTTTGGGAGGGATGAAGAAAAAGAATCAAAAGACAGAGTGAAAAAAAGAGAACAACTTATTTAATTTGTACTGAGAGCACTCTGGAGTGGAAGGTATGAAGACAACTGGTCAGTGATTTTTTTTTTCCTATTACCACATTACTTGCCTTTGCAAAAAAGGTGAATCAGTTTGAGCTCCCCATACTTGGAAGAAACTCTGAGTCCCTCTCGATCGAAGAGTTAGAGTACCATTACTGTATACTGCATTTGAACAGAAAGCATAGCCTAAAAACACATACCAGTAATTTGTATTTTTCTACTTCAGATACTGATACTCTAGTTATCTCAAACTCAATTACTTCTTTCAAAACATGATATGTGTATATACATATGCATGTCTACATGCCACTGAGTAGTACGTGCCAGAAGCCAGCAATTCTGATGTTGTTTCCAGAGGGGAAGTACTATGGGAAGTACTTGAAGGCTATCTTATACCGTTTCATTAGCTTCTGAACTACTACTCTGGAGAGGGTTAACATTTTTTCCGTTTCTTACATTTAACTAGAACATTCATACCATTCCGTGTGTGTATGTATATGTATGTATATATTTATGCATCCTTCTTTTCCCTCAGTTCATCAACTTACTGGATAGAGTTCTCAATGCGCGTGATGGTGAGGAAAGCAGCTAGGTTTGCTGTGTAGGAGGAGATGACAATCAAAGCAAAAAGCCACCAAGCCCCCATCATCAGTCGTGTTGCCAGGGTTGTATAAGGGACTTCTCCTCCTGTGGGAAAGAAGGAAAAGCAAGAGTTGTAATTTGGCAGAAGGAAACCCAGATCTCCACTACTCAAGCTGTGTGCAGGAGACTTCGGGTCAGCAGGGTGCTTGCTTTCATAAAATTAGCAAAATCTTTGAGCCGTGCTTTCTATGCAGTGAAAGTAGTAAAGGAAAATCACAGTAAGCCATCATTATCATATTTAATCTGTTTTGTTACTGTGTCTTTAATTGCAATTCATCTGCCTATCCTACTCAGTAATGGAAATAGACTCCAAGATCTCAGAACAAAGAGAAGAATAAATTCTTAAAATGTTCTTTCCTTAGAGAGCCTATACGCAGGCCTTAATTGAGCTTTTCTTGAGTTCTGCGGAATATAAAGTTAAACCAAACCTATCAAAACACAATTATTTTTCACAGTTCTGTAGGCAAGCAGATGCTCCTAAGATCCATACATATGTGTAGTTGCTTCAAGTCCACCAGGACATGAAAAAAATCACATGCTGAAAAAGAGCGCAAAACTACTTTGTGTTCCCACAGTTGCTTTTCCTCAGAATTTAAATGGCATGCAAACAAAACATTCAAAGCAGTTAAATCTACCAGTACTTTGGTGGCTCACAAGATCTGAGATGCTCACTACAGCCTGTGTGGACAGAGCCCTTTTTAGCAAGCCATGAAAAACTTTATATGTTATGCAAATAGCTGCTCCCAAAATATGAAATCGTTAGAGAACTCTTTTAGTTAAAAATATACAGGCACGCAGATTTTTAGATTTAAAGAAAATGAATTTTTAAAGATATCCATTTTGTCTGTAGTATAAATTTTGTCAAAGCTAGAAGTGCCTAGGTGGGACAGGTGAATGCACCAAACATCACCAGTAAACTGCTCAAGAGATTCACCCATTTTCTCTCTCTGTCTCTCTCTCCATACTCAGCACTTTAAAAGGTAGTTATTATGCTCACGAAGTTTTCTCAGACACAAAATCTTATGACTGTGTAATAGAATGCATATGCAATGCAGCTTGTTACAGATTCAATCACCCATAAGAGTTTTGTTCTTGATACTCACGTCTGTAAAAACTTCTTCCTTTTTTTTCCCCCCAGTAAATAAGTTTACTGTAATTTTTTTCCCCATTACTCTTATCCTAAATAGAAGTAATTTTCCAGTTATGAACACAAATTATATAGACATTTAATCAGTTCTTGAATATGAGGCATCATCCTGGGGACTCTGCATCACCAAACAAATGTGAAGCATTTTTTCTACCTCAGTAATGTGAAATTCTGCCACATGCTAAATAGTAACTGATTTCATTTAGTTATATTTACAGTATGTAAATATTCAAATCTTTGCCTTTTAAGAACTCTAGCATTGAAAGAAAAAAAATCTATTATACCTGCAGTTAGAAATAAATTTTCTTCTATCTCCCAGATGCCATGTAGTTAACTAAAACAAGAATCTTCCAACCAGTCAGGAGCTATTGCTTCAAATTAAAGACTTTCAAAGATGAACATAAGCTTCAACATCTAAAGATTTTTTTTTTTTTTGTCTCCCATGTAAGTTTTAAGTGATTTTTAATAGAAAGTCTCCACTCTACAACACTTGTTTACTGTGATATCTTTGGAAAATTTCATTTAAAAATGTTTTTTAATCAAATGAAAAGACATTTATAACAATCTATTGGAATAGACTGTCTTTTTAACTTTCAGGTGCCAATCCCTGCAGATAATCTTTGTATTAAAATTGAAATGGGTAGAATGAGAGGAGAAACCAATGATCTCCTGGGCATCCTTGCATTTTCATTTTATAGCTTAATGAGTAGAACTCTAAGTTTTCATGTTTTTTATTGAAGTGAAGCGTCAGAAAAGAGAGGGCTACTGAAAGTCGCACATTTGCCTTCTGGGCACAGCTCAAGTTCCCAACTGATGATGCTGTTCAGCAAGCAATTGTAAAATCTATGACAGATCCCTCAGTAATAGCATTTGCTTTTGTTCATACAGTAGAGTTTTACACACAGGGAATGGTCCCACCATTCACTATTACCTTTTCTTTATTAATATCCATGCTAACATTGGACTTAAAGTAACAGTCAGTGTTGTCTTCCCAGGCTGTTTAGTTCAACCTAATGCACACTTATACCTTGTGTATGAGCAGTCAATAACTGAAAGTTGAAGACAAAGCTTGAATGTGACAAGAAGCACAGAAAATAATTCAATGCTCAAAAAAAATCTTTGCACTGATACTTCTTAAACCATTTCTAAAGCAGGTCTGATGCTGCAGCTGCATGGGTAAATGATCTCTAATCATTAGAGGCAGCCTTCTCCACCTCTCTCAGTGAAAGAAAAAAAGAAATCTTAATAGAATCATAGAATTGTTTGAGTTCAAAGGGACCTTTGAAGGTCACCTAATCTAACTCCCCGCAATGAACAGGGATACCTACAGCTACGTCAGGCTGCTTAGAGCTTGGTCCAGCCTGGCTTTGAGTGTTTTCCATTTTCCCTTGTCCTATCACCATAGACCCTGCTAAAGAGTTGGTCTCCTTTCTTATAGCTATTTGTTAAGTTCTGAAAAGCTGCTCTCAGATCTCCCTAGAGCCTCCTCTTCCCCAGGCTGAACACCCCAAGCTCTCTCAGCCTGTGTGTTCCATCCCTTAGGTCACTTTTGTGACCCTCCTCTGGATGCGTGTGCTCCAACAGGCCCACAACTCTCCTGTTCTGAGGATACCCTATCTGGATGTAGCACTCCAGGTGAGGTCTCATCAGTGTACAGTAGGATAACTTCCCTTGACCTGATGTTCATGTTTCTCTTGATGCAGCCCAGGATACGTTTGACTTTTTGAGCTCTGAGGACATTGCTGGCTCATGCCCATCTTGCCATCCACCAGTACCCCTAAGTCCTTGTGAGCAGGGCTGTGCTCTATCCTTACATCCTCCAGCTTGTATTGGTATTAGAGAGTTGTGATGACCCAGGTGCAAGACCTTGCACTTGGATTTTTTGAATCTTATGAAGTTTACCTGTGCCCACTGCTCAAGCCTTTCTAGGTTCCTCTGAATGGCATCTCATCCCTTAGGTGTGTCAACCACACCACACAGCTTGGTGTCATCTGCAAATTTGCTGAGGGTGTGCTCAATCCCATTGTCAATGTCATTGATGAAGACATGAAAGAGCATGACTCGCCATCAAAATGACTGGCTATAGCTATTTCTTTACTGCTACAGTATAATTTATTTGACATCTAGTAGGAGAGCAAATGCCATACAGTCTTGTTCTATTGTGTTGTTTGCTACAAGACTTATCGTACTATGACAGCTCACCTTAAGAAACATCTTCATCCTCATCCCCCCAGTTTGCTTTATAAGATAAAATTCTCTATAGCTTTTTTCCCCAGCATAAATTTACATGTTTCTTCATGTTGAAGAGCACCAAGTCAGTCAGGAGAGCAGCAATCGCTGGTTTTCCATTAATGTTATTATGAAAAAGTTAGAAATCCTACAGTTGCCGTACTTGACTGTAAAGTAGCATGTATGTACACCTCCTAGGGCTCTGCTTTGTGAAAATATTCCCAGTATCTAGTACAGATTTCATGTATGTGTATAATATTATGGATCACAGCCTCTACTTACTAGGAGTGGCTACACACATGACAAATACATATGTACACATACAGAGTGCAAGGGAGGAGACATCAAGAAGAGCATCCAATCTGTCTGCTGTTGTCTTTTATATTATGCCAGCAAAACTTCAAAACCCACAATGGCAAAGGGGTCTAGCTGCTGTCATGCAATTATGTTGGTGACAGTGTAAAACTTGTCCTACCGTACCTCATACCCATAGCAAAATTTATCCACAGTGTTAACTGCACTAAAAAGACTACTATTGTAGTATTCTATAATTCCTAAAACTGCTGAGTTCCTTTCATGACAAATGGAAATTGAAAACAATACTCAGCAGTCCTGATACTTGGTATAGCTAAGGGACAGGTCTCAAACAAACAGATGCTGTATTCTTCTTTAGAGTTGTCCCTTCCAATACTCCTGTAGTACACAGAAGTGTCTAATGGAACACAAAATGCCATTACCTGTAGATTACGTAGATTGAGGCTACACCTTTGAGTATAATTCACTTGATGCTGTTGTTGTACACTAAGAATAATTTCAAAACCTAAAATTGCCTTTAAAATTTGCAGACTGCATGTGCAGAAATAAAAATTTTCTAAAGTAAACTAAGTTACCAAAAAGCAACCTCATTTGAAGCTTTCCAAAACTGATTTACCTTAGAAGTGACAGTGAAAGCAATTGCTTTTAGTCCTCCCACTCTCATCTAATGCAGTTCTCCTTCATTAATCCTAAGCTAACTTAATGCTGGCCTACTTCAGACAACAGGCTTACACTAGAATTTAGGAATTTTTGATTATTTTCATTTCCTTCCAAAAGTTTCAAACTAGCTATCGGCAGGCAAAAAAAAAAATAATGCATTGTCTAGACAACACAAATAATGTAACATATAATTATGTCAGATCTAGAGAATGGACAAAAAACCATGAAGTGACAAAATGTGTGTACACAATTCTGTACAGATTTCTAATTCCTTTTAAATTATTCTTCCCCAATAAAATTTAAATTAAAAAATTGTAATGCAGGATTATAGATGGATTTAATAAAATAGTTATTTATTATGATTATTTTTACTTTGACTAAAGTAAATAATTCGGAAGCCTAGAATTCATAATGCTGAGAAAACTCACAACTGATCTGCAGTTAAATAAGTGTGCCTGTTTCGACTACAGCGCTAGCTTGAGTAGTTCTGGCATGGTTGTTAACCATTTATCTTTTGTCAGTCATTCTCCCTTAGGTTGAATGACTTCAACTTTTTAAAGATACTTTTTAGAACAGTGAGACACACAGAAAAATCAATAAAACATCATTACTTTACATCCTGAATTTGAAAAGCCCGTTAGATGACATATCTGAAGGCAGAGAGCCATACTGGGAGCCTACGCACAGATACTCC